CTCAGGGAAATACATGACAAAAGTGTGGAGGTTGTTTAGGGAGCACTTGCTACGAGTGCTGGATAGGTTTGTCCCACTGAGGCAAGGAAGGGATGGTAAGGTGAAGGAACCTTGGATGACAAGACATGTGGAACATCTAGTCAAGAGGAAGAAGGAAGCTTATTTAAAGTAGAGGAAACAAGGATCTGACAGGGCTCTAGAGGGTTACAAGGTAGCCAGGAAGGAACTGAAGAATGGACTTAGGAGAGCTAGAAGGGGGTTTGAAAAAGCCTTGACAGGTAGGATTAAGGAAAACCCCAAGGCGTTCTATACTTAGGTGAGGAACAAGAGGATGGCCAGAGTGAGGGTAGGGCCGACCAGGTATAGTGGAAGGAACTTGTGCCTGGAGTCAGAGGAGGTAGGGGAGATCCTTAATGAATACTTTGCTTCAGTATTCACCAGTGAGAGGGACCTTGACGGTTGTGAGGACAGCATGAAACAGGCAGATATGCTCGAACACGTTGATGTTAGGAAGGAGGGTGTGCTGGAACTTTTGAAAAACATGAGGATAGATAAGTCACCTGGGCCAGATGGGATATACCCAAGGTTTCTACAGGAAGCGGCGGAAGAGATTGCTGCGCCTTTAGCAATGATCTTTGTGTCTTCACTATCCACTGGAGTAGTACCAGATCATGAGAGGGTGGAAAATGTTATTCCTTGTTCAAGAAAGGGAATAGAGATAATCCTGGGAATTACAGACCAGTCAGCCTTACATCTGTGGTGGGCAAATTATTGGAGAGGATTCTGACAGATAGAATTTATGATTTGTTGGAAAAGCACAGTTTGATTAGAAATTGTCATCATGACTTTGTGAGGGGCAGGTCATGCCTCACAAGCCTTATTGAATTCTTTGAGGATGTGACAAAACACATTGATGAAACAGAGCAGTGGATGTGGTGTATATGGATTTTAGCAAGACATTTGATATGGTTCCCCATGGTAGGCTCATTCAGAAAGTAAGGAGGCATGGGATTCAGGGGAATTTGGCTGTCTGGATACAGAATTGACTGTCCAATAGAAGACAGAGAGTGATAGTGGATTGAAAGTATTTAGCTTGGAGCTCAGTGACCAGTGGTGTTTCGCAGGGATCTGTTCTGGGACCTCTGCTCTTTGTGATCTTTATTAATGACTTGGATGAGGAAGTGGAAGAGTGGGTTAGTAAATTTGCTGATGACATGAAGGTTGGTGGAGTTGTGGATAGTGAGAAGGGTTGTTGTAGGTTGCAACGGGACCTTAACAGGATGCAGAGCTGGGTAAAGAAGTGGTAGATGGAATTCAACCCAGAAAAGTGTGACGTGATTCATTTTGGAAGGTCGAATTTGAATGCAGAATACAGGGTTAATGGCAGGATTCTTGGCAGTGTGGAGGAACAGAGGGATCTCAGGGTCCACGTCCATAAATCCCTCAAAGTTGCCACCCAAGTTGACAGGGTTGTTAAGAAGGCGTATGGTGTGTTGGTTTTCATTGACAGGGAAATTGAGTTTAAGAGCCGCAAGGTTATGCTGCAGCTCTATAAAACCCTGGTTAGACCCACACTTAGAATATTGTGTTCAGTTCTGGTCGCCTCATTATAGGAAGGATGTGGAAGTTTTAGAGAGGGTGCAGAGGAGACTTACTGGGATATTGCCTTGACTGGAGGGAAGGTCTTATGAGGAAAGGTTGAGGGAGCCAGGGCTTTTCTCATTTGGCAAAGAAGGATGAGAGGTGACTTGATAGAGGTGTACAAGATGATGAGAGACATAGCCAGAGTGGATAGCCAGAGATTTTTTCCCAGGGCGGAAATGAGTATTACAAGGGGGCATAATTTTAAGGTGATTGGAGGAAGGTATAGGGGAGATGTCAAAGGTAGGTTCTTTACACAGAAAGTGGTGGGTGCGTGGAGTGCGCTGCCGGCAGTGGTAGTGGAGTCAGATACATTAGGGACATGTAAGCGACTCTTGGATAGGCACATGGATAATATGAAAATGTATGGTATGCAGGGTAGTTTGATTTTAGAGTAGGATAATAGTGGGCTGAAGGGCCTGTACTGTGCTGTACTGTTCTATGTTCTGTTTCAGCAAGGTGGAAAGACAAAGATGGCAAAGTAAGGGACCCTTAGATAGTGAGGGAGGTTGTGAATTTAGTCAAAAGGCAGAAAAAAAGTATATGCAATATTTAGGAAGCTAAAATCAACAGGGCCTGTGAGGAATATAAAGCCAGCAAGAAAGAACTGAGCAGGGAATGAGGAGAGCAAGGACAAGTCATGAAATGACCTTGGCAAGCAGGTCTAAAGTGAATCCCAAGACATTCTGTACACATATTAAAAAACAAGAAGATAACTTGGGAGAGGGTAGGACCACTCAAGGATAAAGGAGGGAACTTGTACTTTGCAGCAGAGGATGTGGACAAGGATCTTAAATGAGTACTTTGCATCAGTATTCACCCAAGATAAGAACATGGAGGACAGTGAGATTAGTGTGGAGCATGCTAATATGCTAGGGCATTTGACATCAAGAAGGAAGTGGTATTGGGTCTCTTGAAGAGCATTAAGGTGGATAAATCCCCAGGATCCGATGGTATCTACCCCACGTAATTGAGAGAGGCAAGACAGGAGATTGCTGAGGTCTTGAGCAAGATCTTTATATCCTCGCTAGCTACTGAAGAGGTCCCGGAGGACTAGCGAGTGGCTAATATTGTTTCTCTGTTCAAGAAAGGAAACACGGATCATCCAGGAAACTATAGACCAGTGAGTTTAACATTGGTGGATGGGAGGCTATTGGACATAATTCTTAGAGTTAGGATTTGTGTGCATTTGGAAAAGCATGGCCTAATTGGGGACAGTCAGAATGGCTTTACATAGAACATAGAACAGTACAGCACAGTACAGGCCTTTCAGCCCACGATGTTGTGCTGACCTATTATCGTACTAAGATCAATATTATCCTACTAGAATCAATAGTCCATAGCTCCTTGAAAGTGGTCACACAGGTAGATAGTGTGGTGATGAAGATATACGGCATGCTTGCCTTTATTGGTCATGGAATTGAGTACAAGAGTCAGGATGAGACGTTGCAACTTTATAAGACTTTGGTTAGGCCACACTTAGAGTATTGCATTCAATTCTGGTTGGCACATTACAGGAAGGATGTGGAGGTTTTGGAAAGGGTGCAGAAGAGGTTTACCAGGATGCTGCCTGGATTAGAGGGTATGAGCTATAAGGAGAGGCTAGAAAAACTCAGGTTGTTTTCTCTGGAACAGTGGAGACCGAGGGGAGACTTGATAGAAATCCATAAAATTATGAGTTGCATAGATATCGTTGACAGTCAGAATCTTTTTCCCAGAGTTGAAATGTCTAATACTAAGGGGCATGCATTTAAGGTGAGAGGGCCAAAGTTCAAAGGAGGTGTGAGGGGCAGGTATTTTTACACAGAGAGTGGTAGGTGTCTGGAACATGCTACCAGGGATGGTGGTGGAGGCAGATATGATAGGGGCATTTAAGGTGCTTTTAGATAAGCACTTGAATATCCAAGGAATGCAGAGATATGGACCAAGGGCAGGCGGAAAGGATTGGTTTAATCTGGTGTCATGTTGGGCACAACATCATGGGCCAAAGGGCCCATTCCTGTGTTTTACTGTTCTATGTTCTGTCAATCAGGTCTCCTCTCAACCTTCTTCTGTCCAGGAAGAACACTCCCAACTTCTTCAGTTTACCTTCATAGCTGAAGTTTATCATACCTGGAACCATTCTTGTAAATTACTTCTGCATACTCTCCAATGAATTCACAACTCTCCTATAATCTAATGTCCACAACTGTCAACTTTATTCCAACTGGGTCTAACTGGTGTCTTGTGCAAGTTCGACATCACCGCCTTGCTCTTGTATTCGGTGCTCCTGTTAATAACGCCAAGAACACTGTATGCATTATTTCATGCTTTCTCCGCCTGTCCTGCAACCTTCAATGATTTGTTCACATATACACCTTGGTCCCTCTGCTCCTGCACCCTCTTTAGAATTGCACCCTGTATTTTACATTGCTTTTCAATTATCTTCTGACCAATGTGCATCACCACACATTTCCCTACATTGAACCACATCTGTCACGTATTTGCCCACTTTACCACTTGTCAATGTCACAGACTTGCTCCCCAAGCCAGTGTGTTTGATTGCAGACAAAACATCATCAGTGTGCCTCCAGGGGTGCACTGACAATGTTACCTAGCAGGGTGATGAGAGGTCTGCAATCAAACACATGGGCTCGACGAGCAAGCCTGCAACCTCATCCATGACCTGAGCTACAAATCTTCTCAAAAACTCTAAATGTGTCAATGTCCTTTTGGAGTTCTACACTGTCCTCACAGTTTACAAGTCTTCCAAGTTTAGTGTCATCTGTACATTGATCACATCCATATTTAAGAATTTATTTTAACCTCACTCATTTTCTGTCCTATTTGAATGAAAGCATATCCTGAATTATTTGGTTCTCCGTGACCAACAACAATTTGCCCCTTTTGTGATATTATGGTTAGGAAATTACTTAGAGTGGTCCCACTTCACCAGTGCTAGTCAATGCAAAGAAGTGATGAGAAGGCCTGCTTAACTTTCTAACTAAGTAACACTGACAGAGCAGAATAAACTCCAAGGTAATTCCAAGTTTTCTACATTTTTGCAAGTATTTACCTTTACAATTAGTTGCTGCCATTTGCGTATTAGTTTCGACAAATTATTTTCTTATTTTGATGTTTGTCAGGTAAGATGCCTTTAGTGAATGACATACATTAGGAAGATTGACATAGTTAACACCCCATCTTCAAAATGCTAGTCGTGACTTCAAGGGCAATGATTGTTATAACTTGCACTTATTACCATATTAAAAAAGGAATTCCACTCAAAAGGTAAATTATGTAAATCTTTTAATTCTGTGCGTTACTTGTAAATATTTTGACTTTATGACATCATATTTCTCAAATAATTCAACTTACAGGTCACTATGACAAAAGGTGTTCCAAATTTGATAAATACAATTCAAATGATCCATAATGTGTCACGATACTACAACACCTCACAACAGATGACTTCTCTTTTTATTAAGGTTGGTATTTTATTTGATGATAAATTGATCTCTGACTCCATCTCCATGTAGGTAATTGTGCTGTAATATTCCATGTTATCAACTTTAGATCACAAACCAAATGGTGACAGCCTGCAAGGAATATATCACTGAAGATGGCACTGCTCGTGTATGGGACCAGGATTCTGAAGTTGTTATCAATAAGATGAAGGTAATCTTTCTATATTACATGGTAATAAATAATATTTAAGGCACAGAAGCATGTCATTTGTCCAAATGTTCCACTTAAGCATATCCCATTCTTTTTCAACTAACTTCATTAACGTATCTTTCTCTTCCTTTCTCTCCTTTTTCACTGAGCTTCCCCATAAATGTATCAATGCTAGTCACCTGAAGACTCCACATGGTAATTTTAAATGGCGATTTCTCTTCAACATCATAATGGGTTAGTTATTTTTTGGATTACATTTATGGACCTTGATTTGGTTTGCACAGCAAGTGTAACATCTTTCCATGTCTATCCTATCAAATCCTTTTATCTCAGTTGTGAGGAAAGATTAGATTGGTTGGAACTATTTTCCTTGGAGAGGAGAAGCTGAAGAGAAGAGTTGGTAGAAGTTTTCAAAACCATGAGCATCAGATTAGACAAAGAGAAACTGTTTCTACTCCTAAAAAATCAAGAACCATAGTGCACAGTTTAGAGTGTTTTGCAAAAGAAGCAAATGTGGGCTAAGAAACAATTTTTTCACACAGGGTCTAATTAGGGTTTGGATTGCATTGCCTGGAGATCTGGTGGAAGTGGGTTTAATTGAAGCATTGGAAATGCTTTCAAAATTATTGTGAACTCCTCAGAGGTTACTATGATCAATTCAAATTTTCTAATTTATATGTTGTTTAAAAATCACCTGTGATCATTGCTGTCCCTCTATGCAAGGATCTAATACTTCTTCTTTAATGTGTCCTCCACTGTGGTAACCTTTTAAGGAGCCTGTAGGACACTTCCACTTGTGAATTCCCCTACTATTTCTCATCTCCATCTAAAATGATTATTCACCCTGATTTCTTGAACCAAGTTTGTCTCAAACTATTGCACTTGAATAATAATGCTGCCCCTCGACCTTTACCTAGCTTCCTATTTTCGTGAATGTTATGTACTGCTTAATATTCTGGACCCAATCCCCACCATGCAGCCATTTCTCTGTAATAGCTATCTGATCAAATTATTTTTATTTCAGTGTGCACCATCAATTTATTTACTTTGTTCTGAATGCACGCATTTAAGTGCAGAGCCTTTAGTTTTGACTTTTTTTATACTTATAATGCCAAGTCTTGAATGTGCCTCTAGCCCCTACACACCCAAAAGTGAGCATGCCCAAATGTTTGACTTTGGCTAGTGTTCAATTACAATTAAAGCAACTTGAATTGGAAAGAGGTGGAGAAAGAGGAAGTTTGAGTTCAAGAAAGAACTAAAAAATACTTCAACTGGACAGAGAGGAAAAGGTACAGAAAAACCTGAATAAGAATTCCAAGGAACAAAATAAAATGAAAATCTTGAATTGTTAAGAGAAAAAGAAGGCAGTAAATTCAAACTGACAGAGAAAGGCTTTGATTACATGAACAGGAGAAGGAAATAGACTTAATGATAGATAAAAACCAAAAGACCTGCGGATGCTGGAAATCAGAAACAAAAAGAGAAATTGTGGGAATATCTCAGAAGGTCTGGCAGCAGCTTTGGAGAGAAATCAGAGTTAGCGTTTTGGGTTCAGTGACCCCTTCCTCAGAACTCAGCGTTAACTTTGATATCTCTTCACATTTTTAATCATAGGCTAGATTATACTCAGGGTTTTGACTTGGAAATGAATACTCATTTAGGAAGTACTTGATATGTATTTTCTTTCATAAATGAAAATTGCCACAAAGTCAGGTGGGCCACAAGAAATTTGGATATATTATAATATGTTTTTTAGTGCGAAAATTCTCTCAACTCTGACTTTTTCACTACATTGGTCCCTGGATTGAAAAGTTTGTCACATAAGAGGCAGAGTAAGTTTAGTCTATAGTCTTTGGAATTCAGACGAATGAGAGGTGATCTCATTGAAACATACAAGACCTTGACGGTGAAGATAGGGTAGACACTGAGAAATTTTTTCTACTGGACAGTGAAACTAATTCTGTACTACCGAATGACAGAATATGATCAGAATTGATAGATTTTGTGTTGAAACTGGATTCTTTTCTTCTTGGAGAAGAATATGTTAAGATGAGTTTTGATGGAATTGACCAAAATCATGACTGATTTTGATGTTGTAAAATTAACTGAAACAAACTTTGCAGACACAGGAGGGGCAGTCATCAAGGAACAGTGTACATTCATCAGCAAAAGAACCAGCGATGATATGATCAATCATTTTTTTTCTAAAACACACTGCTGAAAATGTGATAGAAAGAGATTCCAAAGTAATATGCATAAAAAACCGAATGAACACTTGAAGCGAAAACAATTGCAAGGCTGTAGTGAAAGAGCAGACAACATGGATAGCTCTCAGAGTCTGTACAATAGTCTCAATGGATACCCAGTGTTCTGTATTATTCTGTGATAATAGAAATGTGTAAATATTTAATTAATTTTCACAGTATGTTATTGGATTTCAGGAATGTAAAAAATTGTTAGTGGAATATCGCAAATATTTCCAGAACACAAAGAAATATACAACTGAGACAGCACAAGATACTCCATTTGATGTGTCAGAGATGTACATATTTGGTAAACTTGAAGTTTTCTGCAAAAGACTGGCAAAGGTAAATTGAAATTTGGAACAACATATCATTCAGTTATAGTTTAAATTTTTGTTGACCTCTTCTGCACAGTAATGTGGAGGTGCTGGTGTTGGACCGGGGTGGACAAAGTCAGAAGTCACGCAACAGCAGGTTATAGTCCAACAGGTTTATTTGAAATCTCAAGCTTTTGGAGCACAGCTCCTTCGTCAGATGCAGTGAGAGAAGCACATAGAACACAGAGCTTATAGGCAGAGAGATCAAGGCAGAGAGATCAAATGATCAAACAAATGGTATGAGTGAAGTGTCAGATAATGAGTCTCTGCAGGTTACCAAGTGTGTTAGATGGTGAGCAAAGTGTCAACAGCTGAATAACTAGGAAAGGGATGACCCATAATCTGATTAAGTGAGGCAGAGAGATAATTGCAAAAAATTAAAAATAAGATGGTGCTGGAGACAAACTAGATGACTGGAATAACATGGTAGGTATAAGAGTTCGTGCTGAGGGTCTAACCAAAGTAATAAGTAGTTCAAAACTGTATAAACTAATTAAGGTAGAGAAAAAGGAGGTAGATAGCGGGGAGACGTCAGAGGTAGGTTCTTTACTCAGAGAGTGGTAGGGGCATGGAATGCATTGCCGGAGAGGGTAGTGGAGTCGGCCTCATTAGGGGCATTTAAGCGGCTATTAGATAGGCATATAAATGATAGTATAAGGTAGTGGTGGAGGTTAGACCTTAGGTTTAGGATAAAAGTTCGGCACAACATTGTGGGCCAAAGGGCCTGTACTGTGCTGTACTGTTCTATGTTCTATGTTCTATTTTTAGATCATAACGATTTATTAAGATGATGGTGTCAAAACAGGACTGTAAGGAATATTTTACAGATACAGAACAGTGTGGTGGGGTCACATGTAGCAGCATGAACCCAAGGTTGTGGTTGAGGCTATCTTCACCAGTACGGAACTTGGCTATCAGTCTCTGCTTGGCAATTCTGTGTTGTTGTGTGTCTTGAAGCCTGCCTTGGAGGATGCTTACCTGAAGATCGGAGGCTGAATGCCCTTAACCGCTGAAGTGTTCCCCAACTGGGAGGGACCATCCCTATCTGGCGATTGTTGTGTCCTGTCCATTCATCTGTTGTCGTAGCGTCTGCACGGTCTTGCCAATATACTATGCCTCAGGACATCCTTGTCTGCAGTGTATGAGATAGACAACATTTGCCAAGTCACATGAGTATCTGTCGTGTACGTGGTGGGTGGTGCTCCCACGTGTGATGGTAGTAACTATGTCAATAATTTGACATGTCTTGCAGAGGTTGCCATGGGAGGGTTGTGTGATGTTGTGGTCGATGTTGTCCTGAAGGCTGGGTAGTTTTCTGCGAACAATGGTCTGTTTAAGGTTTGGTGGTTGTTTGAAGGCAAGAAGTGGAGGTGTAGGGAAGATCCTGGCAAGATGCTCATTGTCATTGATGACATGTTGAAGGCTGCGAAGAACATGGGGTAGTTTCTCCATTCTGGGGAAGTACTGGACGCTGAAGGGTACTCTGGATCATCTGACACATAGGAAGATGGTCGTGGTTGTGGGAGGTCAATCATCTCAGCTCCACGACTTCTCAGCAGGAGTTCCTCAGGATAGTGTCCTCGGCCCAACCATCTTCAGCTGCTTCATCAATGACCTTCCCTCCATCATAAGATCAGAAGTGGGGATGTTTGCCAATGAATGTACAATATTCAGCACCATTCGTGACTCCCCAGATACTGACGAGGTCCATGTTCACATGCAACAAGATCTGGACAATATCCAGGCTTGGGCTGACAGGTGGCAAGTGACATTCGTGCTATACAAATGCCAGGCTCTGACCATCACCAATAAGAGACCGCTCCTTGACATTGAATGGTGTTACTATCACTGAATCCCTCACTATCAACATCCTGGGAGTTACCGTTGACCAGAAATTCAATGGGACTCACCACATTAACACAGAGGCTACAAGAGCAGGCCAGAAGCTAGGAATACTGCGATAAGTAACTCACCTCCTGACTCCTCAAAGCCTGTCCGCCACCTACAAGTCAGGAGTGTGATGGAATACTCCCCACTTGCTTGGATGAGTGCAGTCTGAGCAACACTCAAGAAGCTTGACACCATCCAGGACAAAGCAGCCTACTTGATTGGCACTACATCCACAAGCATTCACTCCCTCCACCACTGACACTCAGTATCAGCTTTGTGTACTATCTGCAAGATGCACTGCAGAAATTCACCAAAGATCCTCAGACAGCACCTTCCAAACCCACGACCACTTCCATCTAGAAGGACAATGGCATCAGACATATGGGAACACCACCACCTCCAAGTTCCCCTCTAAGTCACTTACCGTCCTGACTTGGAAACATATCGTTCGCTGGGTCACTGGGTCAAAATCCTGGAAATTCCCTCCCTAATAGCATTGTGTGTCAACCCACAGCAGGAGGACTGCAGATGTTCAAGAAGGCAGCTCACCACCACCTTCTGAAGGGCAACTAGGGATGGGCAAGAAATGCTGGCCAGCCAGTGATGTCCACATCCCACGAATGAATAGAAAAAAAAACCTCTATTCATTGTATCTTGTGTTAGTCTTCTGAGGCAGTCATTGAGATTTTTTGCTGTGGCATGTTGGAACTGGCAATCATTGAGTTGAGCATTGTTTCCAGTTCGTATGAAGGTGTCCTTCTAAACCTTTGGGTGTCCGTTGCATTCATCCTCATCTGAGCAGATCGCGTGTGTGCAATGCTTATCTACAGGGAATGGCTCTTTAATATGTTCAGGGTGGAAGCTGGTAAAGTGCAGCACTGTGAGGTTATCCTTGCGGTAGGTAGAGATATCTGTCCGTGATGGAGATGCATATGACCAAGAATGGTACTGATTCTGAAGAGTCGTCCATGGTAAGTCTGATGATGGGATGAAACTTGTTCATTTTGCTGTGTAGTTGTTTCAGTGATTCCTCGACATGAGTCCAAAGGAAGAAAATGTTGTTGATGTATTTGGTGTATGCAGTGTTGGTCGGAGGTCCTGCGCAGCAAAGAAGTCTTGCTTGAACACGTGTATGAAAATGTTGGCATATTGGGGTGCACATTTGATCCCCATGGCTGTTCTGTGCATCTGGATGAAGAATTGGTTGTCGAAGATGAAGACATCGTGGTCGAGAATAAAGTGGATGAGTTGTAGGATGGCGTCTGGAAATTGGCAGTGGGTGGTATTGAGTACTGAGGCTGTTGCAACGATTCCGTCATCGTGTGGGATGCTGGTGTAGAGCGCCAAACCATTCATTGTGATGAGGAATGTTCCTGGTTCGACTGGTCCGTGGGTGCTGAATTTCTTTAAGAAGTCTATAGTGTCACAACAGAAGCTGGGTGTTTCTTGTACAATGGGTTTCAAGATGCCCTTGACGTAGCCAGAGAAGTTCTCACACAGGGTCCCATTGCCTGATACCATGGTATGTCCAGGTGTGTTGGCTTGTGATTTCAAATAAACCTGTTGGACTATAACCTGGTGTCGTGTGACTTTTGACTTTATTTTGTACAGTGACTAATGGCATTATTTTAACTAAAATCATTTATTAGTAAATAGCATACACAGAGTGCAACTGGCAGAGAATGGAATGTGGCAGTTTGGTAAATGTGGGACTTAGGTACAGTATGGGAGGGAAGATTTTCTTTTTTCCTGCCATCTTGCTTTTCCTTACTACCTTCACAGATCATTGGGGGTCGGAGCAGATCAAGGACCACATGCCAGTAGATTATTAAGGGTTTAACTGAGAAGGAATTGAAAAGTAAAAGTCAGCAAATAGAGAAGGAGAGTAAAGTAAAGATAAAGTAAGATAAAGTTAAGACAAAGAGATAAAGATTAATCTCAATCTTTATGATTGAGTAATTAGAACAATTAGCAAGTAAGACTAAGTAATTTCGATTTTAAATCATGGCAGGCGAGGTCATCTGAGTGGAATATGTAACTTGTCATATGTGGGAAGTCATGGACCCTACTGCTGTCTAGATGAGCATGTTTGCACAAGGTGCTCCCAACTGCAGAAACTTGAGCTTCGTGTTTCACAACTCAAGCAGCAGCTGGAGACATTGTGGTACATCTGCAAGACTGAGAGCTAGGTAGATAGCATGTTTAGAGAGGCAGTCACGCTGCAGATCAAGGAACTGGAAGAATAAAGGGATTGGATGACCACCAAACAGGCAAAGAGAATCAGGTAGGTAGGGCAAGAGTCTGAAATAAATCCAAAATTTAATGCCAATCGTTGTGACTATGATGCGATCATTAATTTTCTTAAAAACCTGCTCGGTTCACTAATGTCCTTGCAGGAAGGATATTTTCCATTCTTACTTCATCTGGCCACAGTAATACTTTTGACCTTTGTGTGTGCTCTGCAATTACTTAGTAAGCCACTCAATTAAGGATGGACAACAAATTCTGGCCAGTGAAACCAACATCCCATGAAAGAATAAAGAAAAAAGGTAGTTTCAATGAATAACCATCTCCTGAAAGAAAAAAGAAATCTCCTCTTTAAAACTCCCTACACCCATTCAGTATTTCCCCACAAGAAGAAGCATCCACCCTATCAAGTCCTTCTCAGAATTTTATGTGCCTAAGATCATCTCTCATTCATCTAAGTTCCAAAGAGTGATTGATTGATGGATTGATTGATTGATTGATTTATTGTCACATATACTGAAATACAGTGAAAAGCTTTGTTTATGAGCAGTACAGGCAGATCATAGTAAGCAAAGGATGTACAGATCAAAAAGACTTAGACAGAGGCATACAGATTACATTGCACAGGGTGTCACGAGGCAAGATCAATGTTAGCAAGATTAGCATTATTTGAGGTTAAAGAATCCATTCATCAGTGTGATAGTGGCCAGGAAGAAACTGTTCCTGAACCTGCCCGTGTATGAGTTCAGTCTTTCGTATCTTCTGCTTGATCAAAGAGGTTGCAGGAGACCATTACTGGGGTGTGATGGGTCTTTGATGATGTTGGCAGCC